ACGTTAATGGCAGGTGGAATAATGGTTTTATCTTGATATATCAAAACCTTTCGTCACAATTAATGTCTTGAGCTAACCTTTCTTCAATTGCAGGTCGAATAATGAGATCTGCCTCGACAGCTTGCACTGGTGCAAATAAAAATTATACTATCTATTTTAGTGATGAGACTATTGCAGGTGGTAATTTCTCTTCAGTATTCGATATTACAACACGACAAAGGAGCACCCCAAAAACTTCAGGGAATTTTAGTGCAAATAAACGAAAATTTGCACAATGCATTGCTTCGTGAAATGTTGACTTATTTAATATGGATAAATTTGATACTTTAAATTTTATTTGGCTACATATTATGTTGGATCGATATCTCCTCTTTCTCTTATGGGCTATAGTGCTACTTTTATAAACAATACTTCTATATTATATATTGTAGCAGACCACATCAAAATTCATCGGTTGATTTTTCTTTCTTCTTTTATTAGACAAGACTTAATCATATTTTTTTAAATTTCAGCATAAACTATTTAAGATGGTTATACATTTTGATAATATACATCTCAAAACTTTGTTTTATTCAATCAACTTTCTGCGTAACCATTTCTGTAATTACCAATATACAATATAAGTAATAATTCTTGGAGTTTTATTGTAAATTATTCCAATTTTCAAAAGTCATCTCAAAATTTACACTTACAATTAAAAATAGTGCAATTCGAAATGAACTTCCAATAACATTTAGAATCTATTATAATTGTATCTAGATTACATCAGGGAACATTCCTTACGCACGCAGCGACCATATAGTGGATTATATAAGTGAGTTGCAATTACTTTGCAATGATTTTTGTCTTTATCAATTATGTGATGATATTTACTTTTTTGTTATTAACATAGCTCAATATAATCAACTTCTAATACTTTATGGACAACCTATCTCTTCATTTATTACACTTAATACCCTGAAATTTACATGGTCGTCTACAATTTCTAGTGCTTGTTCTCAATTAGGGATGGCCACGGTCATTTTCGGCTAGCCGTTTTGTAGCCGTTAGCTGTATCTCACGATCCAGCAATCCAAATTGGATGATTTTAGTACCATTCGAATTGTCTCATTGAGACGATTCGAATGGTACTAAAATCATCCAATTTGGATTGCTGGATCACGAGATAGCCGCGGCTTAGCCGGTCGGCTAAGCCGAAAATGACCGACCGTTACCATCCCTATTCTCAATACCAATTAACTGGTTTTCCTTCATTACTAATTGGTGCTTATGTTCTAATTGCATTTGGATGTGATTGTATGTACAAATGATAATATTATTAGTAATGAGTGCGATGCACTGTATCGTGCTAGTACATCACGTAAAATAAACCCATGATTTCGATAAACATTTATGCATTTATATTTAAACTAACGGATTTTGAATGAATATACTAGATGGGTGAAAAGTCCCTGGACAGGACCTTTTTTATTACTTTCGTTAATATCGAATTTTATTGGCTGGAGCTGTGGGGAGCGAGGTGAAAGCCCCACTCTACTGAATTTTCGGGAATGTCCGGCTCCCGGTTAAACGATCCAAATTTTAGGTCGTGTATCCAGAAATTGAACCTAAATCGGGTTCAACGTTTGGATACCGAATTCTTGGTTTAAAATATAGTAGCTGACTTTTAATAAAATATATTAACTGACTTTTACGTAAAATATAGCAGCTGCTTTTAATAGAATATGTTAATTGACTTTCATTTACACGTAAAATACACGAACCAAGCATCGCCCAAAGATCAGTTACGTTCGGTGTTTCAATTATTTTAATTAAATGAATTCCGATAGTTTTATTTTGTAGAACAGATAATTGCGTAATTATTTCATATACTACATATTATACAACTTTTATTGTTCTTTTTTTTTGAGTAATAAAAATTTTTTCAAAAATTACTGTTCGTTATGGATTCTTTATATTGCAAATCGTGCCGAAATTATAAAACATCAGAAGAATTTCAAGGAAAAAAAACTTGTTCCAAATGTTTAACACGTGTTAAAGATAGTAAAAAGCGAAAGCATGAAGAGGAAAATGCTATTATTTTGCTGACACTGAAGAAATTATGATTGATATAGAAAATATAACAGATACAGTTTATAATACTCTTGTAAATGTAGATGATATTGACGAAAATTTAGAAAGTATCCATAGGTTTTATTTTAAAACGACAATTAATTTAGGTACATTAATGAATGAAGTTCCATTAGAAATAGAACAAGATCAACGTAAACAATATATTGCAGATAAAGTCGTCAAACTTGTTGAGCAAGGAGATGGTTATGATTATATATATCATACAAAGACAGTTTCAAAAAAAACAAAAGTAAAGTCATTTTATTACTGGTGTAATTGCCATGAAGAACTTGCTTCAAAAGGTCAAAAACATAGTGATATTTCAAAACAACGAAATACTAAAACATATCTAACTCGATATAAATGTGAAGGCTTTTTTTCAATTTCTATTAATTTAGTTAATAATTGTCAAGCATTAAACTTAGTCACAAACAACTTCATCGACGACCAAAGTTTATTGGTGTAACAAAACAAATTAAACAATTTATTTGGGAACATCTAGTTCTTAAGGCATCAGAACCTTATCAGGAAATTATTTCTAAAAAACTTGATGGATTTGAAAACATAATAGTAGATCAGGTATACTTCTGGTGGTCTAAGGAAATATCAGCATTTTATCGACACCATGATGATCAATACAAATCTGCGAAGTTGTTTTTAACTGAAAAAAACTATAATATCGTGCTTAATTTAGAAGAACCAATGCATATATTTAGTTTTTTAACTGAATTTTTTAATAAATTACCACGTGAAGCATTTGAAACAATTATGGTTGATGCAACTTATAATACAAACCAATTAAAATATGAACTTTATGCTTTGATGGCAGTAATAGATGGAACAGGATTTCTGATTTCATACTGTTTTATTGAAGCTGGAAAAGGGCGAGATATGCATGCAGCTATAACTGCATGGTTTAAATCTTTATGAGAAAATGGGCTTAAAGAGGTTAAAATACTTCTTTCCGATAAAGATTTTGCCCAAATTAGTAGTGGAATAGCTATTTGGAGAAATGCAGAGGTTCAATTATGTAAGTGGCACATGCAGCGGGCAATTGAAAAAAAAACTTTCTTCTCAATGTTTTGGCAATTCGTCACACTATAATGCTACTATCGCTCATCAACAATGCTCAGTTATTGATCCTTCATGGAAATTACAAAATAGTAATACAAATAAAAAAGTTTTTTTAGAGGTTGCACTAAGAGAAGAAGTATTAAAATATATTGATATACATTTTCATCATCACATATTAATTCCTACATTAGACAAAGAATTTTTAACATCTAATAAAATTTGGACACGAGCTGTTAGTGAAATATTTCAATATTGCTATAAGCATAAATTGTTTTATGTATGGTGCTATTTATGGTTAGAATAGTATCATTGGAATCGCTGGAATCTTTGGGCATTATCTGCACATAAAACTTACTCAAATATTTGCACGACAATGATAGTTGAATCTCATTGGAGGATTCTTAAAAGAGATTTTTTATACAAATTTAATCGTCCACAGCTTGATATTCTTTGTTATGTTATAATTGATCAGATGTTACCAAAATTAGTACATTGTTATAATCTTCTTGTTAATGAAAGAATTCAGCTATCTTGAAAAAAGGATTTCAAGACAGAATGGGAAAAGCTTGTAAATAAAAGAGTAAAAAATTTTAGCAAATACCTTACTATTCATGAAAATTGGGTTTGCTCATGTCCAAATTTTTTTAAAAATCAGTTTTTGCTTTGTAAATATTTAGTTACACCATTAGGAAATATGGAAAGTTTATTTTTCACAAAATTCAACAAAATAATCAATATTCTTTTATTTATGAAAGCCAACAAACTATATGGGAAGCTATCAAAAATATAAATACTATATCGGTCAATTCTACAATTGAAAACACTACAATTAATTTAGATAAGCATGATTTATACAACTTAAATTTAGATGAGTACAATTCAAACTTAGATGAGCACGATTCAAACTTGAATGAGCACAATCCAAACTTGGATGATTATGATTCAAATGCTAGCGAGAAATCTACAAATAACAAGGCAATTGAACTAAAAATAATACTAGAAAAGGTATTATTTATTTTATTTGTTATTTTTTTTATATATTTAATGAGAATTTGATTTTTTAGGCAGTAAAATTTATTGAAAAATCGTCAAATCTTCCTCAACAAAAAAAATGGTTAAATGCAGTTAAAAAAAACTTTGACCCGATTAAAAAGATGGTAAAGGACTTAGAAGCATTTGAAAATGCAAAAACATTAAGGAAAACTTGGAATGGTCATAATTCAAATACTTTCTACTGGCAATAATATATTTTGAGTTTTTTAGAAGGCTATTTCAGAAAAGAACAAGCTATCATTGTAAAAAAAAATACTTATTTTTTTAAAAAAAATTATATCTTTAGTTGAATAATATAAATAATGGTACTGTTAAATAAATACAATAAATTTAAATTACTTTTTCGCAAAACTTTTAATATAACCAATCAGAAAACATTGTATTAGTTAAAGAAAATTGGGTGAGATATGCAAAATACATAAAGATATTTTTTTATTTAAATCTCAATTTGTTTTTTTTTAATATATACGATCTTTATAAAAAAAAATTTTTATAATTCTCTTGTAATGAACCTAGTATTTTATTATAGTCATGAATTTTTAATATTTCTTCTCAAACCTGTCTGCAGTAAAACTTGGCAATATTTTTATCTTGACTATTTAAGTATACTTATTGTAATTTGTTGGAATGTTAATTTAAGCACCGCTATGTAACAGATTTTGGGTGATGCTAGAGTCTTTACGTAAAATATAGTAGCTGACATCTAATATAATATATTAACTAACTTTTAATAATTATACATAAAATACAGTAGCTGACATTTAATAATAAAAAAAAGAATTGTTTATCAGTAAAAATAAGAATTTATATTGTTATAAATATGTCATCACGTCGTAAGTATATTTAATAAGTAAAAAAATATTGTCATATTCTTTTTTTAGTTTAGTCAAAATGGAAAAGCAAAAAAGAACTTACATACCCAAACAAATAGCCATAAAAAATGAAATTTGAAGAAAACAAAAAAAGTTTAGTGACTGAAGAACAGCCGAAAAAGTAAATCAGAAAAGAGATAGGCTCACCGCAAGCATCAATTAACATCTTATATTGATAATATTAAAGCGAAAGAGAACATAAATCAAGACGAACAAACAAATTAAGAAGGTAGCCTAAATAAAAATAATATATTTAAATTAAATTTCGAATGAAATAATTAAGTTTACTATGTAATAAATTATTTTAGAAAACCAATATCACTGCATGTCAATTTACTGATGATGATTATGACCTTCTCAAAAAGTTTGAGATGCTATTACAGGTCTTAAGCATAATTATTGCCTTACTTATAATTTTTTTTTTGCGGTTATTGGCTGAAGCTGAGGGAACCCTTTCAAAGCCTTTGCTGAATTTTTGGAAAGTCCGGCTCTCGCTTCACCCTGACCAAAATTTTAGGCTCAATGACCCGAATCAAATCAAATCCAAGTTAGGTTTAACGTTTGGATACCTGAATTTGAGTTAAAATATCCTGAGCAGTTGGGTAAATATAAGCGGAATTTGTAGTAAAGTATAATCGGCCGCATAAGTGACCGATTATACGTTATCAAAATTTCGCTTATATTAACTACACAGGATATAGCTAACTTCATGTACTTATTTTAGAGTGAAACCTTTAGTTTACACAACGTTTTTTTTTAATATTTAAAATTAAATCACTTAAATTAAATAGACATCTGTTTAATCAAAATAAGATATAAAAAAATTATGTAAATGAGATACTTTTTGGCTGGAGGTTCAATATTCAGAAATTGAAACAAAATTAGACTCAATGTTTGAATATTTAAATCTTGATTTAAATATGATAACTAACTTTCACTGTATATTAATTAACTTCTAATAAATACCACCTTAATTATCCATAAAACTCTGATTAAAATAAATAATTATACAGATCATACCAATTATAACAAATACAATCTATTAAATATATTTTACTTGGAAAGAAAATAAAGAACTTGCTCTCGCATGTAATTTCTTTTAAGTTTTTTCTTGGGCAACTACAATTTATAAGTTTAAATACTGCAATAAATCTTAGAATAAAGAACTTGTAACTGATATTATATTTGTAGATGTACCAAGGATCTGCACATTTGCTAACGTCCTTTTTAATGGTTTTTTTTTTTTTGACAGAATACAAATATTATGGCAAATATGCATTTACACAATAATATAAAAAAATTGTTTTTACTATTAGTATAGATATAATCTTATACCGTAAATTCTCAAAATAATGGGCATCTGCGTGTTATTTTGAATACATGCGCGTTATTTTGAGTATGCGCATGCAGGGTTGGCAATGGACTATGATGGGCTCTGAGAAAAATATCAATAGACATTGTCCATTGGGCCAATGGACATAGTCCATTGACATCTTCTAAGCCACATTTTGGTCCATTGGCCAACCTAGCACGCATAGGCATTATTTTGAAACAAATATAAAATTATATATATTTTTTATATAACAAGTAAATAAATAAAAATGCTCCGAAACTAGGTTCGGTGCTAAGTAAATCTATTTTCAGGCTTTAATTAAAGTTCATTAAAAATGGCCCAGTATATCGTCCGCAATGGCTCTTCGATGTTTTGCAACGTTTGTCTATCTTAGTTTACATAAGTTGCAAAACTTTGGGGAGCCATTGTGGATGATATATTGAGTTGTTCTTGATAAACTTAACACTATTAGAACCGTCTCGATCTGAAGAACAACTTTTGTTAAAGCTCAAAAGTAGATTTACACAGTACCAAGCCTAGTTCCGGAGCATTTTTTTAAAATTTTACTACCTCTACTATTAGATGCGTGTTATTTCGGGACACGCATGGGTGTTATTTTGAAACCACCTATGCTATTTTTAGGGGCGCGATTTTCAAATCAGCACCCCTGCCCGTTATTTCGAGAATTTACGGTAAGTAATATATAGTAATTTATAAAATTTAAATACTGTACTATTTTAAATTCAATTCCAAGTATAAGACCAAATGACTAGAGCTCCAGCCCATAAAGCGTCGCCATTTTTCTAATTTTAATTTTTGATTTATAATTCTGTAATTTATGTGATGTTAATTTAAAATCTAATTGAATTTTATACAAAAAGATATGTATACGGAGGAATAGTCTTACTTCGAGATCTTAATGCATCATTTATTTTTGAACTTATGCTTATTGCTTACGAACTTCTTTTTGAAGAGTTAGCTAAATACCTTGAAACACATTTAATTGAAAGGAAACTCATTGGCTTCATTTAAACTTTATTTATTTTTGACAAAAAAGTTTTCCGAACCATAAGCATCAAGAATTACAAAAATGGCGCAATGATATTGTGGTAAAGTATCCTAATAAGATTTTTTAAATCAAAAAACTTTAACATGATTCAAGAAAGTGGGGCTAGAAATGATTTACAAATCGAGGAAGTAAAAATTTGCAACCGCGTTATTGAATGGGGAATTGCACAAAATCCTAGATTACCATCCAATCTTAAAAACTGGACCCAAGAAAATTTTCTAGGTTTAAAAATTACATTAAAAAATTGTTTACCTCATATTCATTATTTTCAGATGTCTAGTGATGACATAATTGATAACGTTTGATAATGTACAATTATATCAACAAATCCTAGAAAAAGATCTTTGGGATGATATAACAAAAAAGTTTATGTCACCAAATCGACAAGTATCATCAAAATTCCTCCCGCCTCATATAAACATTACCATGTAGAAGTACAGCATCATTCTCAGCAGTTATCAATGAAATACATGCAGTAGAAATTGCTTCATAGATTAATAAAAAAAATTAAGTATATTCAATAACGAGTAATTCATATAAGATTAAATTACTTCTTCGTGGAACTAAAAATGGATTTACTTCAGAATCATTCAAATCTTGTAGTTATGAAGGTTAAAGGTACAGATGAAATTCTTGGTGGCTATAATCCTACCTGATGGGATGGTTCCTATATAAATTGTGAAGATAGCTTTATTTTTCATTGAAAAATAGTGCCATTCGAGATTCTATTCTAAGCCGTGCAAAACAACCATTAAATGCAATTTACTGTTATAATGCCTATGGTCCAAGTTTTGGTGCTGGCCGTGATTTGTTTATGTCGAATAATTCCAATCAAGATAGTCCATGTTGGAGTCGTCAAGCGTCATATGAAAAAAAGAATTAGAAATGCATATACATTTGATAAATATGAAGTATCATATTTTTCGATAAAAGAATATGAAATATTCCAAATTAGCAAAAAAAATTTTATAGTAATTGATTAATTAGATAAATGATTTTATCAACATCATATATATGGGACTCCTACAGCAAAAGGGTGCAATGGGCCTAAAAAAAATTTTTTTCTAAACTCAATTTTTTGAAGAATTAGAACAATCGGCTTCTAATTTTATAAAATTACAAATTAAAATTTTTCGGCCCATTGCACCCTTTTGCTGTGGGTTCCCATATGTTGTAGTTTGAAAAATAATTTATCTTTTTTGATATCGTGATCTTTATCTGGAATTAATCATTTAGCTGTGTTGGAATCGATGCATTTTTCAGTCAGCGAAAAATTTTGACCGAAAATTCGAATGTTCATCGAAGAATTTAATGTGACTTATCAATCTTATCAATTGTAGTATCGCACAATAAACTTATTAAATTATATTACTGCAAAACTAGTGGTGTAGTTGTATTCAAAAAAATTATAGCCTCAAATACATCACATAATGCCAGTTAATATATTATACACTGTATGTATGTATTCGTAATGCTATAAAGTGTATTGTAATATTACTTCGTATTTATTATGAGCTAATATTAATTTCAAATTTGAGTTGATGAATTTAACATTTCGTTATTTATTACTTTTGTTACAAAGTTAATAAATCTATTTCTATTTGGGCGACAGCTGTAAATCATGCTTTTGAATATTTACTTTTAATAAAAAAAACCTTAAAACCAAGCAATTGAACACCTAAGATTTTAATATTATTCGAATTGCCTCAATGAGATGATTAAAATGATATTAAAACATTAGGTGTTCAATTAATTGGCCTTAAGATATTTTTATTAAAAGTAAATGTTCAAAAAGCATGATTTAAAGATTTTCTCTTGCCGTCACGCATTTAATTTTCTATTTTAATTAATTTTGAACCGAGGCTGATTCCACAGCTAAAAATTTATCCACTTATTTTATTTAGCCTATTATCACCAGAATTATGGTCTATTGTATAATATACTACGAATCAACTATGTAACGTATATAATA